AAGCAGGAAGTCATGGTTCAATGCCCAGTCAGGGCACATAGCGGGGTTGTGGGTATAATCCCCACATTTCCTAATTAAATCCATACATCAGTCTTACATTCCCCTTGCAGGAGGCAGCCCTTCAATGATTCTCTTGGCATCATCAATGTTGCTATCTCTCTCTCTCTCCTTCATTCCTCTCTGAAATCAATAAAAAAAAATTTTTTAAAGATGTAAACTCACAGACCTGGGTGAATGCCCTCTTGTTTCTGTACAAGGAGGTCTTGCTGGTTGCTTTAGGGGTGTGATGATTCCAGGAGCCAGAAGGGAATAGAGGGAAGATGCATGAATCCACAGGTGTGAGAAATTAATAGGTATGCAGTTAAAATTCATGGTTTTCCCAGAGATTGACAGTATTAGATGTGATGGTCCTGTTCACCCATTCTGGGTTCCTGAGACTCCCAAGCCTTCTTCATCCCCAGCAGAAAGAAGAGCAGCATGAGGCCTGAGATGGAGAGCAGCATGTCCCACTTCTTCCTCCTGGGGTTCCCCATCGCGCCAGGGCAGTAGGGCGTGTTCTTCACCCTGTTCCTGGGCATGTACCTGACCACGGTGCTGGGCAACCTGCTCATCATCCTGCTCATCAGGCTGGACTCTCGCCTGCACACGCTCATGTACTTCTTCCTCAGCCACCTGGCCTTCTCTGACATTTCTCTCTCCTCTGTCACTGTCCTAAGATGTCCTTGAACATTCAGACTCAGCAACAATGCATTTCCTATCAGAATGGCTACCATCAACATATCAACTAATGACAAGTGCTGGCGAGGATGTGGAGAACAGGGAACCCTAATACACTGCTGGTGGCAATGCAGATTGGTGCAGTCATTATGGAAAACAGTATGGAGTTTGCTCAAAAAATTAAATATGGAACTGCCATTTGACCCCATGATCCCACTTCTAGGAATATATCCTAAGAAACCCAAAACACCAATCAGAAAGAATATATGCACCCCTATGTTCATAGCAGCACAATTCATAATAGCTAAGACCGGAAAACAGCCCATCTGTAGATGAGTGGATAAAAAAGCTGTGGTACATTACACCATGGAATACTATGCAGCTGTAAAAAAGAAGGATCTTTTACCCTTTGAGACAGCATGAAGGGACCTGTAGAGTATTACACTAAGCAAAAAGCCAGCCAGAGAAAGACAAGTATCACATGATCTCACTTAAATGTGGAATCTAATGAACAAAATAAGCTGATAAACAAAATAGATCCAGCGACATAGAAGCATGGAACATACTGACGAATCACAGAGGGAAGGCGAGCGTGGGTGGGGGCGTGGGAAGAGATCTACCAAAGAACTTGTATGCATGTATGCATAATCAGTGGATCCAGATAATAGTATGGTGAAGGTCTAGGGTAGGGAGTGGGGGCAGCCTAGAAGGGTTAATGGAGGGGGGGAAGGGGGACATATGTAATACTTTCAACAATAAATTTTTTTGAAAATTTGTTTAAAAAGGATAAAAACAATAGCTTTGGAAACATTATCATATGCCTTCTGGTAATATGTACTTGTATATCAGCTATAAATCTAAGCCTGAAATATACATACAAACATACTAATATATATATATATATATATATATATATATATACACACACACACACACACACACACACACACACACAGTAGGTAAACATTGTAAAATGTTAACCATTGGGAATTGGCTGAAGATTGACCAGGAATTCTTGATATCATTATTACAACTTTTCTATATCTTTAAACGCATTTGAAAATAGAAAGTTGAAAAATCTTTTTTCCCAATGGAGCAATGCCCAAGAACAAAGCAGTCCAGGGCATGACTGGAATCAGGGACACTCTCCCCTAGGACTCCAGTCCCTTGGCTCTTGGACACACAGCTCCCAAAGGGCAGTCAGAAATCAGCCACAAGCTTGGGGAGTTGGTTGCAGTCTCTCATTAGCACTTAAGTGTCATTTGTGGACTCATTTCTCTAGAGCTGGATAAGGAAAAGGAAAGTCTGTAGAAGTGCCAAGTCCCCAGATATTTACTCTGTGTGTCTGATGTTAGGTCTCCTGAAGAAAACCTGAGGAGATGGGCGATATTCTGCAGCAGAAGGGGTCTGAACTCACCAATGAGCCCAGGTGAGAGGAGCTGGAAATCTGCCTTTGCCAATGGACCTGCCTGTGTGCTAGTGGGTTCATGTGTGAGACTCTGTGTCCATGACCCTGTGTGTGTATATGTATTATGTATGCTTGTATATGTGCTGTTTGATAGTTGTATGTATATGTGCTATGAATCTGACTCACAGTCTCGTTTTAGCATATGTAGACCAAGTTCTCAGCCTCCTGGCGTGTGGTTGGGACTCCTGATTCATGTCTGTGATGGTAAACACTGGCATCACAGCTGAGCACTGGGAGTGAGACTGTGGTCTCTGCTGCTGGACAGAAGATGCCGACCTCACCAGGAACCAAGGTCAGCTCAGAGAGAGCTCAGGCCTCTGCTCAGCAGTGTGTGGTGCACATGTGAGCTGTGCCTGTGGGTGACGCTCTCGTGTATGAAAGCTGGAAGTTATGTTATTGGATTTTCTCTGTGTGTATGTGACCATGTGTGTGACCATATGCATGGGTGTTGGTGGTGGTTTAATGACTGTGCCTGTGACTGAATAGACTTAACAGTCCCATTCTGACTATGCTCCCCCAGCAAGGAGATGGTCAGACAGAGGGAAGCTCATTAATACACTCTCTTTAATAGGAGAGTGTATACTGTTTGTTGTAGTGAGTGTGGCTGGGTGTGCATATGTGTTGTGTTGTGTGTTTCTTGTAATATTTTTGAATTGTTTGTGGTCTTGTGTGATTTTGGTGAAGTGTGTGTAGTGTTTGAGTTATGTATATGTGGTGAGTTGATTGTTCACCAGGTGCATCATGAAACAGGTGTGTTGATGTGCATTGTGAGTATGTTTTGGGGTGAGAGGTGTATTATTGTATGTTGCGTATGTCCAACTGTCTGTTAATTCTGACTTGTATGTACGCATATGAGTGTTTATGAGATGAACCACATATTGGCTATTCTTTCTTTAGGATGGAAATTTGGTCAGGGGTGACATACATTCTCAAAGCAGGTGTGTGTGTGTGTGTGTGTGTGTGTGTGTGTGTGTGTGTGTGTGGTGTGTGTGTGTGTGATCTGTATCAATGACTCAAGTATTTCCTAAAGTGTCCTCCTTCTGGGGAACCAGTACCTAAGATACTCACATTCAAGGAACACCCTGTTTCTGGAAATGGATCTGCTATCATTTTTAGGTACCTGAGTGTGATTGAGTTGCTCAGTATTTTCCAACCTTTCTTTATTTTTACTAAACATCCCAGGTAAACAAAGAAACACACTACCCATACACTCCAGGCATCATGATGTGTGAAGGTATTGGGCAGAATTACCATTAAATAGTGATGAGAATTTGGGGAACTTATATAAACCATTGGTCTCATTTTCACGTCTATAAAATGGAAAAAATGACACAAGTTTTATGAATCTTGCAGAGGCCCTCAGTAAAAAGTTATTGCATAAATAGACCTTAATGTATTTCAGAATTTTTTGTCAGTTGGAAAGTAAATAAATATGAAGTAATAAAACTATCTAGTAAAGGGAATAAAAAATTTTGGACAACTCTGGGTCCTCACAGCTCTAAAATAATATATTGTGCTTGGCTCCTACGCAAGAAAAGGGAAGTTTCCCTGTTTAACAGTTAAGAGCATGGTTTCTGATCACACAGATATATTAGACTGAACCCCATGAAGTAGCTAACAGTTGGTCGTTTTAATTTATAGAAAATGGTAAAACATATATATCAAGGTATCAACATTACATGTCACATAAGTAATAGATACTAATATACACACGTGTATTTGTGTGCCATTCTGTCCCTGCTGTACTGATCTGTGCCCACAGAATTTGCGTCATATATGTTTCTATTTATTAAAAACTAAAATAGTTCAAGGAATACAAATCCTTAGAGCAGGGGTCCTCAAACTACGGGCCGCGGGCCACATGCAAATACAAATATTGTATTTGCTCTCGTTTTGTTTTTTTACTTCAAAATAAGATATGTGCAGTGTGCATAGGAATTTGTTCATAGTGTTTTTTTAAACTATAGTCCGGCCCTCCAACGGTCTGAGGGACAGTGAACTGGCCCCCTGTTTAAAAAGTTTGAGGACCCCTGCCTTAGAGCATCTGTGAAGAGGTTTTAAAAACTGGGAATGTAAGGCTGATGTGTGGATTTAATTAGGAAATGTAGGTAAAGTCCTTAGCCTGGTACCAAAATGTTAATCTAAATGTTCAGCATTATTATGAAAGATACTTTGTGGACTATTGTGGTTTTGGAGATATTCTGGCCTCAGTGGCTTTCAATGGCCACCCAATACTAGAGTGTCCCTGAGTTTACAGCTGAGGGTCAATGGGAGCCGGCAGGTTCACAGGAGGTCTGACAAGGCTCCAACAACACCCACTCAGCACTGGAGTCTCACGTTACTTTTAGGCAGAAACAACTGACACCACTTTTCAGGGCCTCACCTTCCATTCCTGCCACAGTGAATCATTATGGTTTGGCTCTGGCCGGGTGTAGAAATGATCCCTCCATGCTCATCAAGATGTAAACTCATAGAGGTGGGCACCTTGCTTTTCTTGCTCACTGCTGCACTGCAGTCCTTTGAAGAGGTTCTGACAAAGACGTGATGTTAAAAGTAATATTTGTATAAAGAGCAAACCCCTCTTAATTCTCTGTGATGACGTTGTGTGACTACTTTGGAGGTTCAATGTTTTCCTGGAGCAAGACTGCAAGAGAGGAAAGAAGCATACATCCACAGGTGTGAGAAATTAATATGAAAGTATTTAAAAATGAATGATTTCCAAATAATGACAGTATGAGATGAGATGTCCTATTCATCCTTTCTAGGTTCCTGAGACTCCCAAGCCTTCTTCATCCCCAGCAGACAGAAGAGCAGCATGAGGCCTGAGAACCAGAGCAGCGTGTCCCAGTTCCTCCTCCTGGGGCTCCCCGTCCCACCAGGGCAGCAGGGCGTGTTCTTCACCCTGTTCCTGGGCATGTACCTGACCACGGTGCTGGGCAACCTGCTCATCATCCTGCTCATCAGGCTGGACCCTCGCCTGCACACGCCCATGTACTTCTTCCTCAGCCACTTGGCCTTCTCTGACCTTTCTCTCTCCTCTGTCACTGTCCCAAAGATGCTCATCAACATGCAGACTCGGCAACAATCCATCTCCTATGTAGGATGTATTTCTCAGTTGTATTTTTTCTTGCTTTTTGTTGGTCTTGACAATTTTCTTCTGGCTGTAATGGCATATGACAGGTATGTGGCTATCTGTCACCCCCTGCACTACACCACTATCATGAGGGAGGGGCTGTGTGTGCTGCTGGTGGCTGACTCCTGCATTCTTTCCTGTTGCAGTGCCCTTTTGCACACCCTCCTCTTGGTCCGACTGTCTTTCTGTGCTGACAATGCCATCATCCACTACTTCTGTGACCTTGCTGCACTCCTGAAGCTGAGCTGTTCAGACACCTTCCTCAATGAGCTGGTCATATACACTGTTGGAGGAATGATTACCTTTTTGTGTATTGGTGTTATTTTGGGATCCTATATCCGTATAGGGACCATCATCCTCAGGGTCCCCTCCACTAGGAGACTCTATAAAGCCTTTTCTACCTGTGGCTCCCATCTCTCTGTGGTGTCTTTATACTACGGGACAGCTACAGGTGTTTACTTTTTCTCCTCGTCATGGGGTTCCAAAGACATAATTGCTTCAGTCATGTATATGGTAGTTACCCCCATGCTGAACCCCTTCATCTACAGCCTGAGGAACAGAGATATAAAACAGGCCTTAGAGATGTGTGTCAAGAGGATTAAGTTCTTAAAGTGGCAATCACTAAATCCTCTGGTTGCAGTCAGGAGCACAGGGAAATATATCTCCTAAAATTACTGAATAGTCAACATCTCCATATAACTTTAATAGAATATGAATTATGTTGTCCCGTACAGTGTGGTTAATATGTAAACTAGGTCAAGTTTGCTACATGGATTGTTAATAATGTTATATTCCCAATTAGTAATTTTTGCTTGTTCATCATCTCATAAGATATATCCAAAATCTTATGCAAAATATATTGCATAATTATAGTTGTGGATTTATCTTTTTTTTGAGATGTGTCAGTTTTTGCTTATGTATTTTTTATCCTATGTTATTGATGACATACTGATTTAGCCTCATGATTTGCTTCTGGTGAAATTTTTTTCTACCTGGTTCTTTGATGCTGGCTTTTGATGGCTTCAAGTTGATTGTGAGGATCTCTTCCCAACTGACATTCAAGGACATCCTGTTGGTAGATTGCCATCAGCCATGATAAGAAAAATTACGCTATGAAAAATGGCATATGCTACAAAATAAGGCTTTTCAAACAAGAGGGCCAGACATTTTAAAAATACATTCAAAAGCACACCACTGCATTTATGATTAGGAGATGTTTCTAGAAATGGGCTTTACCTTAACTACTCATCTACTTCTAATATTAGTATAAGTACTTTATATCTATCACTATGGATATAGGTACACATACAGATATATGAACAGACATATAGGTATAAATATACAGATAGAGGTATAGATACTAGTATAGAATAGGGAGTAAAATGCAGCTTTCTTGTGGTTAGAGTTTAAATGGTATATTTGTTCCATCACTTTAAATTTTTCTTTTTCCTTATATCTCTGAGGTGTCCATTATTAACAATGTAATACTGGATATTGCTCATTTTATGTAGAGCAACAATTATTGTATTTCTGTAGAATTTTGTCTCTTGACATCTAATGTACTCATAACACATTTGAATTTATATTTTCCATGTAACTGTGTTTTTCATTTGATACATGTTTCACATATATTCTCTCTTGTCTTCCTCCCTTTTGATTAAATGTATATTTTAATCCATTTCCCTCTACAGTAGGTCCTCGGGTTATGTCGAGGATCTGTTCCTACGGCCCGAAACCCACCTACATAAGCACCTACATCATTCACATGGAGCACATACACAGCACTAATGAAGTGAAATAGTAAAAAAAAAATTTAAAAGAAAGATAACAATTCCTGACCTTTACTTGTGGTAAATAAATGATAAAAAAAAAAAACATAAAGCACATATGTACATATGTCAAAATGACAGAACTTCTTTTTTTATATAAATAAATGGGAGATGGCGACATAACCACGAAACGGCGTACATCGAATCGGACGTAACCCGAGGACTGCCTGTATTAACTTAATCTTACATGATCACTATTGTTTTATGGTTCTTCCCTGTGTTCTTAAGAGATCACTTCTTACACTCTCTTTAATTTTTAATTTTAGTTTGATATACAAAAGATAACATTTACCATTCTAGCCATTTGAACCATTTAGGACACTCATCAGCAATATCTCAATTTATGACCACTAAAGTAGTCTCCACAGAATATCAACTGAGTATTTTGCAACTGTGAAAAAAATAAGAACAAGGATATCTATGAATTAATACAAAGAAATAGTAAGATATATTGCTAAATTTAAAAAAGCAATGTGTAAAAGAGCATTTATAGTGGGCTACTTCTCATGTAAAAAATGAAGGTAAATAAAATATCCAACTGTCTACCCATTGAGCAAAAAGAAGCACAGGAAGAGTAAATCAGAAACTAATAGGATTTTTTATCCACAGGAGTTGGGGCAGAAGCGATGGGGAGATGGGTAGAATTATTTGCGTAGTTTTGACTATGCTGACTTTTACAAGTAAAACATGAATGGAGAAGGAGGCTAGTAAAGCAAAATAGAATAAAACAAATAAAATGAACGTAAAAAAATTTAAATTAACACCATAATTACACTAAAAGGGAAAATAAAATAAATAACCTAAGTAGTTCTTGAACTTAGAATTTTGTCTATATACTTTCACAATTTAAAAAAAACTCAAAACAAAGTTTTAAGCTGTGGTATGTTATTAACTGTGGTATGACTTCAAGATTCTGAAACAACTCACCATGTATCCAAAGATTCAGCAAATAAGTAAACACTGAGGAAAAGATAGTGACTCTCACTCTCAGGGAAAGGAGCTCTGTACATGGAAAAGGAGAGGCTGGAAAACTCTATGGTGTCAAACTAGAATTGGAGACATCAATTCAGACTCATGGGTTTTAAAATGTATAAACAGGTTGAAATTTATTTTTTTATTTATTGTCTGTATATCAACAGCTATCTTGCCCCATCCCTCTTTATTTGTGTCCCACTCCTGACCCACCTCCTGTGGGTAAACTTCCCTTCACTTACTTAGTTTCTAGTTTTTACTCCTTTTGTTTCTGTTATAAGTATTTCCCAGTGGGCTCCTCTGAGATCACTTAGAACCTTGCAACCAATAAAAACACCTAAAGCTACAAAATAAATAGTGGTAATGGATTATAACTCAAGAAAATATGTAAGCGTCCATGAGACCATACTGATATGAAACCACAAACAAATAAATAAATGTGGGAAATAGGGTAAGTCCCTTCTTATAGGAGAATACTAGTACACCTAATAAACATAGAAGAAATAACAGAATTAGAAGAATCACCATTTGGCCACCACATTTGCAATAATATTGTCATATAAGAATCACCAATAAATTTTTACAGAAATTCCTTATGACCTCAGCATATTTTTATAGATGAGCCATATCTATACCCTCTCATTTCCAGGGAACAAGTTTGTTCACATTTTCAACATACAGAACCATAGGAATTTGAAGCCAATGATTGTGTGGACTACCCTATACCAAATCTGTTCAATTCCGTTACTTCTACTTATTTGCTGGTAAATCACAGGTTTTCTTCTTTTTTTCAATTAGATTTACTTTCAATATTATTCTGTATTGATTTCAGGTGTACAGCATAGGCATTAGACAGCAAATATTGAGAAGAACACTATGTAAAGTATATGATTAGCTAAACACTATGATAGGTTTTCTTTTCTTTCAATTTTTTGATTTTTTTTTTTACTTTAAATAATATTTTCCGGAGGAGAACCAAGATGGCGCCTATACTTGCTGCCTCTCACAACCACATCAAGATTACAACTAAAAGGCAGAACAATGACCACCCAGAACCGCAGGAAAGCTGGCTGAGTGGAAGTTCCACAACTAGAGAGGTGAAGAAAGCGCACTGAGACCGGTAAGAGATGCGGAGCACATAAAGCGCTGGCACCTGGATGTGCTGCTCTTTTAATCGGGAGGGAGATACAAGCTCCCGCTTGCTCTGAACTCCATTCCAGGCGAGACTGTGGGGGACACAGACACATATGGGCAGAAACTGAACTGTCTGGCATCAAGACAGGAACACGAGGGTGGCTTTCTCACAGAGTGCTCACAGTGATCATTGTCCATACGGGGGGGGGGGGGGAGGGGGGCACGTGAGACACGGATACTCGGGCACCTCTCCGGTGCAGGGCTGACTGGCAGCCATTGCTGTTGCTCCACC